TGGATTGATCAGATAATGATAAAGCACATTAGGACTATCTGATAAAGGACAGAGATATAATCATGGGGCCTCTTAAGGGAAGCTGGTTGTATTCATATTACACATTTAGAAAATTACATGAACAACTGTGCAGTTAGCAATTTTGCAGGGATTTGAACTGGATCAAACTACCAGTGGCTGCTTGGATTTATAAATAGAGAAAAGTTCTTACTGTTGAGTGATAACTACCACCTACGTGCCTCTTGAAACACATAACAAAAAAAATCAGGATACTTGTTTTGCATGTTCTAGTTCATCTGCCTTACATCTTAGACACAATAACATTGCATTAAAATATTTCAGTACTTCTAACATTTCTTAGCTGTGAAATATTTTGAAACATGTGTTAAACAGTATATTGAACAATATTTGGCTTCTAAGTCACCTATAAGCTGATTTCCAGATGAGAAAATGTGAGAATGATAGCGATTACATAAGTGATCCATTGTTGGGTGCTTTCTGTATGAAGTAATTTTAAATTCAGCCACTAAAAATGACAGAATTTTTTAAATGACCCACTATGTTAAAAACAACTATAGACTTCCTATTCTTTTTTAACATATACAGGTTAAAATTGGTTTTCATAATACTACATATATTTAACAAGATGCTGATTCAAAATTACAATATATGTTTATTACATATTATGAAATTAACATATTGTTATTAGATAAATTTTTACTGTCTAAAATTTTGTAGAAATAATGGATTATCAATTGCTTTTAATTTTTTATAGAGCTTTTTATGAATGGTTACATGATGAGGAAAGAAATACCAGAACATCCTTTGTAATAAATAGCTCATGGGGGAAAAAAATTCAAAATCCATTCTTCTCTAACTATGACAGGTAGCCGAAGTGGATTTTATAAATCTGAAGGGAAAAGAATATGGCAACTAAAAGCTCAAGGTTTAAAAAGTGTGGACAGACATGTACAGCTAGCATAAATATTAAAATTTACGAAAATAAAATTTCAATACATACAACACACACTACAAGCACAATTTTAATTTAGGTCATGTTCTTATTCCATTACCTGAAAAAGAAAAAAAAAATTGTTGGTACTGATTTTAATCTTTTTTATTCTATATAATGTAATAGTTATTCATTCTTTGTAGTTATCACAGTTTATTTCAAAAATCCCTCCTTAAAATATATTAAAGTTTTTTCCGTCATAATACGCATTTGTTTCCCTCTCTGACTTCTGGTATTCAAAATGCAATACCATGAATGAAGGATCCAATAATCTTAAAATCTTCCTGTTAGATGACTTAGAATAGACTTTGATGGAATATGCAGATAATTAATATTGCAGTGTATACGCATATCACGTACTCCAGTAATGCTATGTAGAAAGAATAAAGAAAGAACTATAGGTTGTTTTAATTACTGGAATTGTATGTTTTGCCAATGCTCCTTTATGTGGGAAGTTTCAGCATTGCACAACATTCTTTTCAGACAAATCTCATTTTTGCCTTACCATTACGATGGTCTTATCTTAGTCTGGTGACATTTTAATACCAGATATCATGACCCTTGCATTATCCTATCAGTCTATCACTAATGGTTATAGTTTAGGGTACCATTAGCACTGTTACTCATGCCTAATATACTACATTACAGGCACTCTCAGCAGCAATCACACATTACAGGCACCTTCAGCAGCAATCACTACATCTTAAAATTTTGCGCCCTGTTGTCTTCCCTCCCTTTCAAGATAGCCTGCTGCTGAGTTTCAATATGATCACAATATTCAACAGTTTTTCATTGCCTATTAGGTCATTCTGCTGCCTTGGCACAAAAAAAAAAAAAAAAAAAAGCACAAAGGCAAAATTACAACAAAAATCTCAAATACTTTATAAGGCCACACAAAGATGCAAAATGTTTACAGTCTGAGAAGATTGATGACAGAATATTTAAATTTAAAAGTAGCTCATCAAGAAGAATCTATTAGGTCAAAAAAAAAAAAAAATTCAGAGCATGATTGTAACAAACACTGTTTGAAAATGTATACACAGTGTAAGTATTAGCATGCAAGCATATACTTGTGAATGTATTGACCTTAGTATTCAAAATAATTTGTGCAAACACATTCTTTCAGCAGTAATGTACAACAGAAGTGAAACAAGTTATTCTGGAGCAATCATTAACTTCTGAAAAGAAGGAGTACAAAATTTAGAAAAAACCACACATAAACTTCACTTCTGAGAAATCAACTATCATATTTTTTTTTTTTAATCACTAGTAAATGAAATCCAAAAATTGTGCAATGAAAATAAAAATTTGCAGACTACATTAACAGACAAAATATTTCAGCAAATCATGCAACATTTAAATGCTGTTCAAAAATTATTACAGTTGTCAGAAAATTACAACACAATAAATCAAAAAATATATATGCACTAAATTTGAATCTACAAGTAAAAAGATTATTCTACAAAAAATATTTTTCTCAACAAAAATTTGTAAAAAAATGAAAGCCGAACAAACCTACAGCAAATGAAACTGAAAAGGTTCACAGATATTTTATTAGGACAGCCTGTCATTAGCAAAGGAAATGATTCATAACAATTCAATACAGAAACATCGCTAATAAGTTAACTTTATTTTGTTTGATAAAGAAATTTAATCATACAAGCTGATCATTACTTTTACTGTTAACTGCTCCTGTAAGTTTCTTTCTATATTAATAATTTAGAACAAACTATGAGAGATTATATGATTATTTCAAGTGGCTTTAGAACATTTTTAAGATGTTTAAGAGCTAATTTCATTCAGGAAATCTATTTGCTAAATGAAAGTGTGCTATGATTAAAGAAAACATTTGTAAATAATCAAACTTTTGAAAATAACATCTGACTAGTTTTGTCAATCACATAATAAGTAAGATTTTACTTTTTTAAAAAAAATTTTTTGCTGTAAATATTATTTGTTGAATATTTTATAGATAATAAAAATTTTGTGCATGCGCTTAATGTTGTAGGTAATTTCGAATGCTTCATCCCAAAACTTTAATTCTTTATTCAGATTTGTGAGAAAAGAAAAGAAAAAGAAACTTAACATTTATTAATAATAATGTGTATCCAACTTTTTATTAATTTCATAGAAGAATTTTATCTAGAATGTTGAATACTTGTAAATGCATTCACAGTCATCTACTTCCTTTTTTTATTAACGAAAAAGCTCATTAAGCTGTTCATTCATACAATGCTCCAAAAACGTCATCCTTATTACAAACAATGCATATTTTCCTATAGCTTTAAAATTAGTTAAATTATTTCCTTATACAAAATAGTTCCTTATGTTATCTCAAGAACGAAAACAGCAACTTCATATGGCACTGAACTGTAGTTCAGAATTAATCACTTATAAAATTTCATTATGCAATAAATCTTTGTTTTTTATTGTATTTTGATAGTGATTCTGTATAAATTGCATTCATAAACTGATAGAGCTATTGCTGAAGGAATAATAACTAATTGTACAGATATTTTTTTATATGGCACAGATGCTTAAACAGTGTGATGTCCTATAAATTATTTCATGTATGTTAATATAAAAGTTGACATGTAAAAATATTATTTTTGAGACAACTGGCAAAAAGCCTGCGTGCCCAGTATAATAGCGGTAAATGGAATGGAATATTATTTTTGAAACTCGAATTAAATAATCAATGATTCAGCAACCGCCAAAATACAAAAACAAGCAGCACCAGGAGATACTTTCAGAAGGCATAATAATCTAATATAGTATGGAAAACTTGAGATTATAAAAGAAAATAAGATTAGACTATAAAACTATATGAACACATTCATGTTTACATCGTCAGCCATTCACGATTACTCCGCCTATAAATGACGTCATTTTCAAGTCAAACATAATTGGCCAACATCAGAAGGGTACGGCGCGGAATCTAGCTTCTCGTCGTTGGCGAACTGGCAACTACCATCTTGAAGGAAAAAAATTTAATTGTCAAAGTAACGAAAATTGACTTTGGCACTTTAGGGGAACCATTCAAGCCTTTTCTTTTGGGCTATTTTTTTATCGTTTAATTTGTTTCACAGATTGAAAGCTTTTCTTTACATTATGAATCTTACTCGGGGTTTGTAGCACTTAGTTCCCCGAGTGAACTTTTCTTTTTCTTGCAAAGGAGAACGTGTTTGTTATGCTCTTCAGTTGTAAGAGATCGTTGCTGAGAATTATGAACCAAGAGGTTTATTTGGATGCTAAGAGTGGCAAGATTTAATAGCTTGGCATCGTTTCCTGATTCCGTTAAGCGGAAGAATTATTTTGATCCATTATCGGAGTCTGATCCATAGACGGTTTATAATAATCATAATCTGTAGCCGGTTCGTTAGCCATTTTGAGGAAACCTGACACCCGGTAACTGAAACAGTCGGGAAGGGGAACCTAACGTATCAAATCCCTAGAGAAAAAAAGTAAAAGGCTTGCCTAGAATTGGTAAAACACAAAGTCAAACAGTAGTAGAGCAATAATCCAAAGCGAGAACGATGACGGAGCGATGGGTCAAAGCACCTTCACGCTCAGACAACCAACAACTCGAGAAACAATTCGATCAGTATAGTTTTCTCGAACGTCTTAACAAAATCACTTCAGCCAGCTTGTTTACAGTCACTGTTAAGGGTTTGTAGCAGTTCAGAACTGGTTGCAAATCAACATTGATTACGTATTTACAAAAGGCGTACTCGAAAGCGTTGCAGCTGAACTCGGTTTTGCAATGCAAGACCAGTTGCCATAATAAGCGTTGCAGTTGGATTTGCCCCTTAATTTTTCAGTCTGCTGGTCAAAAGATAGAAGAAATGCAAAAGAGTTGTCTTCTTTGTCTGTGCAAGGCCAACGTCTGTGTGTCGGTGTGTTTTAACCGTTTGAAAAGGCTAGTATTTTTATAATCTCCTGCTGGTGTGCTGAAGAGAATTTGAATTTGTACGACTTGTTTGTGAAAATGACTGACAAACAAACAAAATTAGCACTTTTACCTTTGTCTAGAATAAAGATGATCATGAGAAGCTCTCCCGATGTTTCAAATATAAGTCCTGATTCCATTTTTTTAATTGCCAAAGCTGCCGAAGGTTTTGTTGCGTTTTTGGTTCGTCAAGCATTGAAAGCGAGCGATAACAAAATGTTGGTAGATTACTCTGATCTTTCAAAGATAGTTTATGAAATAGGTAATTTGGAGTTTCTGAGAGATATTATTCCCCCAACAATTAAAGGTTATGAGTATCTGGAAATAATGAAGAAAGTTGAAGAACAGGATAAAGCTATCGCAAAAGAAGAGCAAGAGATTTGATGGTAATATTATTCTAAGTTATTGATTTGTTTCTGGTTATTTTATATTCGTAAATTTTGTGAAAATTAAGACGCCTTCTTAGATACTGATTTAATTTGTTGATCATACAACTTTCATTATGATTCTATTTCAGTTTCCTCGTATAAGTTTTATATCTGTCTACTGAGAGGTTCTCAGTAAGGCGGAGAGGGGGGATTTACATAGTTTCAGGAGAATATCGCCATCCTTTTTTTTTTTTAAACCTGTTAAGCATTTAATTTAAATTTATGAATATAAAAAACTACTTTTATTCCACTTTTGTTATTTATCAAGGTTTTGTGTACTTTTACTTTCAATTTATAAAACACATAAAAAATAATATATATATGTAATATACTAGATGTGCAGTCATGAATCTGGTACTTTTAACTTCTGGGTGGATAAGGTAATAATAAGACGTTGACAAAACTAATTTCTGTGAATCACCATCTTTATTTTTAGGTGCATCAAAAATTATTTGTTTGACAGACAAATTACTTTTTGATCATAATTGAACACAAATAATTTTTATATACACAGATAAAAAGCTATGACGTGATTTCAGGCAGGGAAGCATAAGTGGCACAGAGTTTGCATTGTAGAAGTCAGGGAAGTATAGTGCTTGTGACTCAAAATTCATACTTCGTAGGTGCAGAAAGTATTCTAAGCTATGATTGGTCAATATTAGTTTTAGTTACCTTTTTCAAGCAGTTTTATGTAATTTGAAATTATCTCGAATTTGGGAGAACAGATGAATTTGGGGGGGGGGAAGAGCACCAAATATAGAATGTTAATTTTGAGGTTGCCAATTATTTTTTAAAGCAGCCATCGTATTTTGTTATAGCTTAAATATATGTAATATGTATGTACATCGGTAAAAGGGTTGATCTTTACAATATGGTAACTGGTAGTTTGGCGATAAAGGTTACTACCTGGGACTTTGGTAATAATGTGAGCAGTACTCAGTTCCGATTACGCATTATTTTGCGTGAGGGAAATGAGAGATCATGGGATATGTCATGTGATATTAATGGACGAATTACGGTTCTTTAATCGGAAAAGGGGGGAGGAAAAAGGGGGGAAATCGGGAAAAATGTGGAAATTTTGTATTTAGCTTTATTCTCTGTTGTGTGAAACAGTGTTGTTAATTTTTGGAATCCCATGGCCTAACTAAAGTGAATTCGAAATGGGGTATTTAGGCATTGTGATAAGAGAAGTTTGCTTTTTATTTAGCGGAGGAAGTATGGAGGAAAAATTCGCAGAAAAAAAATCTTTCAATAATTTTATTGAATGAATTAGAAAAGTGTATCCGCCACGTAATCAAGATTCTGAAGAAGATTAGGTAAGTTAGTATTTTTAATTATTTGAGGATATTATTTTTATGCATTGTTCTAAATGTAAGGTGGAAAGGTATTTGATATTATTGGGAAAATTGTTATTAGCAATGATTTAGTTTAAAGTAATTAGGATTGTAAGGTAATTTTTATTAATTTAATGTATGCGCTCATTTATATTTTAAGTAGTGTTTTTGAATTTAAATGGTTGCGGTATGAATTCGTTTGGTGACGTTTATAATATAATAGATGATTTAGAGGTAAAAGTTTTTGGATATTTTATTTATTTTATATGTGGAAATGTTCATATTTGGAAAGGGTAAATACTTTTTCGCGATCAGGTAATTTCATATATGTTCTTTTTACCGGGTTTAAAGATTGAGAAAATTGTCATGTATTTTCGTGAAATTTTTCTAATTTATGAGAAAAAAGCAGTGTACATGGATATCATGAAGAGTGTGCGCAATGCCATTTTTGTGTGCAATTCTGGGATGTTTTTTTAAGTAAAAATAAGTCGACGTGTACATGGTTTAGTGATATTTTATTAAATGATAGTTATTTTGTGAATTTTATGTTTGTAGGAATTTGGATACGTTAAGTTGAATAAACTTGCATGGAAATAATTTAAATATTTGATACTAAGTATTTGTAATGCTTGCGGTATGAATTCGTTGGTGACGTGTATAATGTAATAGATGATTTAGATGTAAAAGTTTTGGATATTGTTACGAATTTGGTATTTAAAAAGCTAATGTTAGTTCAATTATAAATTAAATGGTTTTATTTCTCGCGCAGTGCAGCGCGTGACGAATATTAAAGAAAGCTAAGCCGGAAAAATTGAAAAATACAAGAGCGCGTGCATTAAATAAATAAATATCTCTTTTTGATTTCGAGAAAGTACTGGAAAATTCTAGCGCGTGATTTTAAAATCTTATAAAGGAGGAAGGAAACATCTCAGTTTGTAGTAGTTGCTTAGTTTGTTGTTGTTTAGAAAAACTACTGTTGTTGATTGTAGCGAATTCGCGGATTAGCGTTCTTTAGCTGTTTTGAATTACGTTCTATTGGACATTTGAGTAGTTAAAAGAAAACTACTGTGAGATATTGTAATACTGCATGATAATTTGAGAAAATTTAAGCATTTTTTTGTTGTGATAATAATAAATTTTTGTTCATTTTTTTCATCGGACTTGTGCATTCATTTCATAACGAACCCGTACGCACGCAACAATTTTTGGTGTCAGAAGTGGGATTTGAATGCCAATAACAAGAGCGATGGAAGAACAATTAAGGCAAATGATGACTGCATTTGCTGCTTTCCAAGAGAAAAGATGGAAGGCCGTCAAATCCGTTAAGGAAGAAATGAAATTGGGCCAGGAATCCGTTAAGGACGAAATGAAAAGCCGTTCAAGCTGGTCAAGAAAGATTGAAGCATGTCAAGAAGAATGAATGAAAAGAGAAATTACCTGCATAATAGAAAATAAATTTGAAGCTATGGAAGGCAGAATAGAATTGACACAGTTGAAAATAAAGTTGGACAAATTGAAGAAAAAGTTTCTTTCGTAAAAGATCAAATTGAAGAAAGAGTTTTCTTCGGTGAAAGAAGAAATAGAAAAAAAAGTTTCTTCTGTAAAAGAACATATAGAAGGGAGAGTTTCGGCTGTGGAGGAACGAATTGAAGGAAGAGTTTGTGCCGTCCAACACCAATCGAACAACAAATTGATGAGAGAGTTTCTGCAGTTGCCAAAGAAATGGAAATTTAAAGAAATTCGTAGCGACGGCAGGGAGCAAGAATGATGATTTTAAATTCTTACCGATGCCTGCTCGTCCACCTCTGAAGCTATCCACATATGATGGGAAGACCTCCTGGCAAGTGTATAAGACCCAATTTTCTATCGTTGCGGATGCGAATGGATGGGATTCCCAAGCTAAGGCCTGTCATCTCGCCGCTTCTCTAAGAGCCAGACGCAGCGGATATCCTTCAGACTCTTCCCGAAAACAAAAGGTTAGATTTCGAAGCTCTGTCCGGCGCTTTGGAGCTGCGCTTTGGCGAGAAATGTTTTAAAAGACTACAGCAGGCTTCAATTAAAATCCCGTCAACAGAAGCCACCGAAACACTTCAGGAGCTCGCCACGGATGTTGAAAGGCTGTCACCATCACGCCTTTTCGGAGTGCCCGACAGAAACAAGGGAAATCCTGTCCCTGCAATACTTTCATCGATGGCATCCGGGATACTGAAATACAGAAAGCTCTACGAATGGCGGATGTTAAAAGATTTAAAAAGCGCTCTAGTGTACGCCATGAAATTTGAGGCAGCCCAGCAAGCCACCTCGTCGAGACCGCCACCCAGTCAGAGCTGCTCAAGTCCAGGAGCCAGGGGATCAAGTCACCGCTCGTCTAGACGATTTAACTAGACAACTGAACGCCTTGAGACGGAATATTGGTGAGAAGAAACCGACCGTTAAGTGCTGGAACTGCGGTGCTGAAGGACACATACGACGAAACTGCAGAACACCCCAGGGTACGGATGTTAAGACCGCTTCTAACAAGCAGCAGGGAAACTAATTAGTGGCCATCTCGCGGGGCGGAGGTTGCCAGATAATGAAAAGCCCCAGTTTAAAGCGCTTCAGATTTCTGCAGTGAGAGGCGGCAGTAATGGACTTTTCATAATAGGACATATTAATGGAGTTCCCTGCAATATGACGATAGATACAGGAGCCAACGTTACCATCATCCGAAAAGATTTGGCTCAACAACTGGGAAAGCAAACTTATCTGGACGCCGCCCTGCGTTACCCTCCAGACTGTGTCCGGTGAGAAGATCGACATCGATGGGAAAAGTAAATGTTAACATCACGTTTGGAAGTGCCGCTTACCATCACACGGCATATGTAGCAGAGATCACTGATTCTTGCATACTCGGATTGGACTTTCTAAGGAAATACAATTTTTCCTTGGACTTTAAAAATAACGAATTGCATTCTACATCTGAGGACATAGCGTTATTTGGAATTAATGATGAAGAAGTTAAATCTGTCCACAAATCATAGCACAAGACAATATCACAATACCGGCAAGAACAGAAATTTTACTTCCTGGATCCATAGCCGAAAACAGAAATTTCCGCTACGGCATCATAGAATATCCCAATAACTGTAATAGCCCAAAAGGAGTACTAGTAGCCTCAACACTCGTCGACCTATCCAGAACGGTTATCCCGGTGAGAGTCGCCAATGTAACTGAGAAGGCGAGAGTTATTAAGAAAGGTGAACGTGGTTGCAGCATGTACTCCAGTAACCAGCGTTGAAAGAAAGAGCAACATCCCAAGAATCCGTGTCCTCTCAGAGAGCATTACATCGGAGTTATTGCAGAATGCGCAATTAAACGATGAAGAGAAGAATGCTGCCGATCGCGTCATTAAAGATCTTCAAGTTGTTTTCTCCCGCTCGTCTTCTGACGTGGGTCGAACTAGTTTGACACAACATAGAATAGATACCGGCGATCATCCCCCGATCAAGCAACATCCAAGACGTCTACCGTTTGCTAAACAGGAAGAGGTGCGAACACTGTTAAAAGATATGGAAGAAGGCGATGTCATCGAGCCTTCAGCGAGTCCATGGGCATCTCCCATCGTTCTCGTCAGAAAGAAAGACG